GATTTCCTAATTCCATAGCACTTCCCTGACTGACCCCTTCCAGCACTTAACTACACTCATGCCTGCAAAGTTTATCCAAACATCTGTCCCACGTGTCTTTTTCTGAAAATAATCGTAAAACTTGCTTTGAAATTGTAAGGCCACACTTTTGCAAGCAGAAGCGATATAAAATTATCTTCACATTACTCCCCTATTTGTGTTCATTAATCCTCATGTGTGCTGTTATTTAATTTTCAAGAAAGAAAGGCTTGATACAACCTTAACCAGGAAAACCAAGTTAACTGTCCACCTAATAAATAAATCTGTGTTCAGCAACAAGAGCGTACTTAAGATTCCTCAAAATTTTGATGTTTTTAAGAAAAATATATAAATTGTAGCTGAACAACTGCATCTAATTTATTTAGCATAAGAATCCCCTCACTGTACTTTTTAACTTCGACAAAAAATTTCTTACTTGGCAGTAGCCAGTTCCATAAATGTGGACATACATATTTGATTCAATGTGTGCAGCATTGCTGAAGCAGTGAGCAGTGAGCAGCACAATACTCAGAAGTTTTCATAACTTAAGGTACAAGGTACAAATAGATACTAGGGCTTTAAAATTGTTAACACAGCTGTGGATCCTAACATTGTTCATAATTTTCAACTGCATTAGGCAGGTTACTAATACGTTTTAAGGCAAGTATTTCCCTACTCTAGCTGTAATATGCTAAGGGTGGGTTTTTTCAAGACCTCTAGGAATGTCTTTTCCAATACTGTTGGGTATTTTTTTCAATACCTTCAGAATTTTTTTTCAGTAGACAGAATAGGAATAAGGGAGTTTTTCCTGTCCCTATGAAAAGGAAATAGAGTTAACAAACAGTTAAATTCATGTTTAGAATAAAGAATTTAAATCTATTATGAATTAATAGATTTAGGAATAGGAAAATAATGGTTTTTCTAAAACAGAAGATGTATGCAAGCACAAGACTATAAGTAATCATGCAACTTGTTGACAACTTTTCCATGCTCAAATAGCTCCTAAATACAAGATTTATCCAGAGGAAAAAGCTCCTGTTTGTCTTTATAGAATATCATATGAGTATAAAAGCACAATATGGATTTGAAAGTGCTAAGAGGAATATTACTGTAAATTGGTATAGATATACTGAAGTGTGGCATTTTTCTTCTTTTAGTTATCTTATTGTCAGAGCATTTTAGTCATTCCTGGGAGGAGTTATAAAACTGCAGAGACTGTGTTCATACAGTGTACCCTAACTTTATTCATGTGTACCCTGAAGAGAGTGTAAAAGCTCAGACTCTTATTCCTCTTGCAATTCTGCTGCTTACAGATTTTCAGTCTAAGTGCAAAACTGAACCCTATGCTGTCAAGGTGAAGACCACCTCTACTGAAGAAAAAAGTGTATGGTCCAGACATTCCAAGCAGGCTGAGGAGAGAGGGTAAAATACTTGCCAAGAAAAGCCAGCTTGCAGTGGAAAGTACTTCCCTGGTGAGAGGGAACAGAAAAGGGAAACAAACCACAGAATTTCTGATCTTCACTGTGCACAGTTGAACAACATTTTGCAAAGTTCAGTAAAGAAGACAAGAATGCCAATTATCCTGTGCTATTCCAAGAGACAACCTAGCAGGATTTTCAGATTAGGAAGCATAAATGTATTTCCTCTTCCTTTTTCATTTCAGATCTAGATTAAGTAAAACCTGCAGCTCCCCAGTGCAAATAGACAATACCATTTACAAGGCACAGACATGTTTGGTTCAATTACAGCACTTAGCACACTGGTTCTGAGCTTGTGGTACTACAAATACTTCCTTATCCTAAAAGTTCACCCAAATGCTGGAGCATTGAAATGAAACTAAAAGCAGTTGGACTGCATAATGCCAAAGGGTTGCCTAACCTAATGTCTGCTATCAAATAGCGCTTAGTGGTGTTTGCCAGAGGATTTTAGGACTGTCACAGGCACCCAGGAACACTTCCCTGGTTACAAACTCTCTTGACTTCTAGTGATAAGTCTTTAGAGAGTTTTTGATCCAGGTATGTTAGCTATATGGCCCATTTTGTAATCTAAGCATGCGACGTGAAAAAGTGCTCTTACTCATTTTGGACTGGCTACCTCCATACTACCTCTTCTACCAAAATACACACTTTTCCCACATCGTTTCTGAATTTACGGATTTCTCTTACATCCTCACAGAGCTGCCTCTTTCCCATCCAGGGGGGTCCCAGTCAATTCATCTGCTTCTCAGCTGTGTTGTCACTACACAGCTTTGACTGCTTTGATCCTCCTATTCAAGCCTTTTCCTAGCTTTGCTCCTTTGTGTAGCAGAGCAGACCAGAATTTTATACTACATTAAGACCTAACGGCACTATCAATTTACACTGTGTAAAACTGTTTTCTGTTTTATTCTTTATCTCCTACTGAGTCATTCTTATTGCCTGTCTGACCTGCTGCTGAGCAGCTGAGGTTTCCATAAAATTACCTCGATAACTCCAAAATCACTTTCCTGCACAGCAATAGTTACTTCAGAGGACCTAGCTGCAGGTAAAGTGAGAACTAAGTATTATTTTATACACTATATTTACATTATTTACCAAAATATTGAAATAAATTTTCCACTTTATCAAGCACTCAGTATCATGAGATTGATCAGCTGTTTTAGCACTTTCCATTTTTGTTATTTTTGAGAATGCAACCTAAGTGCAAACATTTTGTTACTCTTTAGCCAGCTTTAACTGATCTCTTACGTACATGTTGAGCAGCAGAGTCCTGCTCTCTTTTAGCAGTAAGTGTTGGGAATATTACCAATGCATTCCTTTACTCTTTATTATTGTATTTTGCAGATACTCATGCAGATGTCCCAATGAAGGGACTCCTACTTTTCCTAACTGTTTTTTAAAGAAGCTTTAATGAAAGACCTTTCCTAAACACTTGGCCTTGTCTGCTCAGGGAAGCATCCTGCCTCTATTGACTGTGAGGCAAGGACTCTCCCAGTATCTAACTACTCACACTACTCGGTGCTTTTACACTCTAATCACCTGCCGACCTGTAAGCTTCTCTTGCAGGCTTTCTGTTTAGAAAACAAAGCATAAGCATGTACATGTTTTATTGTTCTACATCTTTGACTTAGGTATTGCATTTTTTCCCCACATTTTTCACATTTGTCCACTTCTATTTTCTTAACTTTGACACAAAATACTAATGTAGTAAGAAGGATAAAGATAAGTTTTTTCCTCTTGTGAGTTCTCTAGTTTCTCAATGAAAAAATAATTTCTACTCTCCAAGGCAACAGCAATCCAATGCCCACACTAAAAATTGAACTTCTTTGGATTTGCAGTCTCTGTACCATCTTAGGTATGGTTACCACCAGGCTGAGACATTTTGCTCTATATGGTCTTAATTCTCAATGGACTTTGTAGCCCTAGAGACAGACATTCAGTCTAAGGGGAGTCCAGATTACTTGTTGCTTATTTAATTTCAATTCATAGCATGGCACCAGTTTCACACAGAACAAACAGATTGTTATCACCATTATTTCAACAGCCTCACTTAGAATATCTGGGTTTAAGTCCTTGCGTGTTGTTGAGCTTTTTAGACTGAGATTTCCACAGAGATACATACACAGTGGGTTCAGTTCCCACTTTTAATGGGACCTTAGTGAAACTGCTCCTTCCTGTTTATTTTCACCAACTTCTGTCCTATTCTTTTATCAAAGTCTATCCATAGTCACATTTCTCCTTTTACACATTTACACATCTACTTTTCCCCAGTTCACAGACTAAAATGCCTACTTCTGTCATTTTTTTAGAAAATGCTGTGACAGCAGCCTGGTTTCATTCTCTGCACATACTCCTATTACTAATGGGCCCATCTGCTTTTATTCTCTTGACACTATTTGTGCAGTCATGCCACGGAACACTGCTTCTCTCCCTCTCTTCTCCTCATCTGCACAGGTCTGGAAAGCTATGACATGAAGGCCACAGTTCTCCAGCCTGACCCAGTGCTGAAGTAAAAATCTTTATTCCAAAGAGAAAGTCTATTTTTTTGAATAGCAGAAAGAAGGCGGAAGGAGAAAACAGAAGAAAAACCTCATTTCTGTTCAGTGCTGCTGCTTGAAAGAGCTATAAAAAACAACAAAAGGAAATTTGTCAAGAAACCATTTCAAGGACAGATCTTTTTTTGAAAAATGTACAGAAAACATTAATTTGAGAGTTGAGGTTGTTTTATTTTAACACCTAATACAATTCAAATTTAAAGGATTACTTGCACAAAAAAATAAACACATTTGGTATAAAAATTTATCGTCACTTTAACACCCTTTTTTCCTCCCATGGCCCCTGCCTTCTCTGGAGCAGAAACATATAAAGACTAATGGCACAAGTTCATTTTATTCTACAGCATTTTTTTTTGTTTTTACATACTCAAGTACCCTAAAGGACAACAGCCCGCTGTATACAAGAACCATTTTCTTCAGCCTGCTGAATTAAGTTTCATAAAGACCCAAAGCTATAAAGGCATTTTAAAAACCATTGTCTCTTTTTTTTTTTCAGAAGCACTGACTTTTTGCACCATTTATATACATAGTGTTACATAACAGCTCTTGAGTACAGTACATGCAGCAGAATATATCTGTTGTATATAAAACATACATTTAAAATCTTGACTTATTGGAATTTTTGGAAGATTGAGTAACTGTAGAATGCCCCTTGCTTAGAGAAAATGGTTTGATAGTACAAATGTCTGCATAAGTTGGCCACTGGAACAATCCAAGGCTCACTGGAATAGTATCTGTAGCACACCAAAGTGTGTAAATAATTTACTTACAATATTAAAACACAGCTAGGAAAACCAATAGTTCAAGATCTTACAACTGGGGATTGGAACTAGATGATCTTTAAGGTCCTTTCCAACCACCCCATTCTATGACTACTATGTTAACCCTTAAGTGGTGGCAAGGAGGAGTGGTGAGAGTTCCCCCTCCCATGTCCTCTATAAAACCTTTAGTATGTAATTTGTTTTCCAGATGATGAAACTTATTTATGTCTACTGCCTCTTCTCTTCATTGCAGCTGTACACTGTGGACAGTACCACTTCCCTTTCGGTGCTTCGGTCAGTCCAACACATCCATAGTGGAACCACTCAATAGGGCACTATAAAAACAGAGTTAAAGACAGGGTTTGGGATTTTGGGGTTTTTTTCACATCGCCTATCACAAATACAATCCTATGAAAATGAAGCATGAGTGAAAAGCATTGATTCTGCTTTTAACACAAATCACAGGATGAAATGAAGAGAGAAGAGATTTCAGCCTCTAACATACACTCAGTAAACTGAGGAAAGCGATAAAATTTCTAGTAGACATATAGTAGTCTATGTAACAGAAAATCAAATATGTTGTGCTTTGGAAATAATTAGTTTGACAACACTAAGTGACATAAAAGTAATCTTATCACTCCTGTTTAAATGTAGTATCTCAGCAAATACATGATTACATTCACCCGTTCTTTTAACATTTTTTTGTTTGAAGAGGACAACTGTTATAGTGACATACTAACCAGTCACAGAAATAAAAGTGTTTTGAAGTAGGGCATTTTTGAACCTAGTAATGGCTGAAGGTTTCTAAAAGAACCTGAACTGTGGAGAGAGATGAGGATAAATTTCCTGAATAATGGTTCATCTCATATGCACTTTACTCTAAAAAACGCTACTAAAAAGCCAACACCAAAGAAATGTAACTCCTGCAAGCAATAGTTACATGCACATGCCTCTCATGAACCTTTTGAACTTTGTTACTTACGTCTTGGTTATCACAGCCTACCATTTCACCATAGGACACCTAGTGAGTAAGAAAAAAAGTCTCCTATTAATAATTGTATTAGTAATTAAAAGCAATCAACATTTTCAAAGGGCTAAAGGTCGAGTTTGTTCCTTTGAGGAGTTTCTCCATTCACATCAGCAACAACATTTTTTTTGTTTGTTTGGGGTTTTTTTTCGGGTTTGGGTTGGTTTTTTTTTGGTGGGGCTTTTTTTTGTTTTGTTTTTTTTTGTACAACCCAAAGGCCATCATGGTCACAGTGAACTCATTTTCAAAAACTGTTTATGCAAAAAAGATACATCTGCATATGTCAGGCTGGATAAAAATGGTCAGCATTCAAAACCTGGATGAAGCACACTGTGATCAAAATAACAGTGCTCAGTACATTATCTGCCCAGTTCTCCAGATTATATTGCTGTCTGTCATTTCCCTTGCATAAATGACAAATTTCAAGTACTTCTTTCAAAACAATGTTTTAAAGAGAATTACAGAAATTTATCAACTCTAAAACCAGTCAACACTCTTAAAAGTGTTTGAAATAAAAATACGTTTCTCATATTGTTATTCATTCTCTGGATATCTTATTTAAAATTAGGTTTTTTGGTTCTTGGTTTGTTGGTTGGTCTTGATTTTTAAAGGGATGTAGGAGAAAGGCGAATTCCTTACTAACTTAACATTTTAACTAAATTCACCGTGAACCCAGTCCAAGTTTTAATTATTAATTCCTGAAATCTCCATTAATGGATTAAGAACTCTCCAGGTATATCACATCACTAGAAAATTGATTGGTTTTAGCTTCAACAGTTCAGTTGATTATTCATATCACAAGTAAATAAAAACAGATCAGAATTTCAAGAGTAAACCCCCAATGTTTTAAAATTAGCAATCAGAGAAGGAAGTTCAACTACGTCAAAACAGCAGCTCTAGTTGTATTTCAGGTTGAATCTGTCCTTACCTGATTACAAATGCAGTAACGTGGCTCATTTGGATCATAGGTCCAGTCAACCTGGCTATTAGAATCAGACTCTGGTATTACTGCTGTTTGCTGAGACAGTTCTTGTGCCAGTGCAGATGAAGAAGAACATGATGACAGAGAGGAAGAAGAAGAAGATGATGAGGACTGCTGGCTTGAGGATTTGTTGTTGTTTCTGAGGAAGGGGGAAGAAATAGCATACATGATTTAAATTTATTTCCTGCCAAGTGAAAGAATCACTAAACAATACTTTCTTGACTCTGAAATACTGCAGTATGTAAATTCCAAAGCATCATTCACTAACAGATTTCATTCCACTACTGCAAGCACTGGAATGGACCCACTGAATGCTCTTTGGAAAAGGAAATAGGCCATACCAGCTTACAAGTGCAAGACATGCCATTATAATCAATGGAATTCAACAGCTCTAAACTGTCAAGTAGCCTTACTGAATGCTTTTCTTCACAAAATTTTATATCAACAGCTTGCTGTCAAATCCCCATAAACATTATGCTACCAGTAAAACAGGAATTTACATATAATGTCATATGTCATGTACAATAGATAACTGTTTTGAAGATGACTGATTCTATGTTAATCTCCACTCAAGCATCACCAATCACTCCACAGGAATGATGCCAGAATAAAAATTCTATGCTTTTGTTTATAGGTCAGATCTGATAGCCAAGATATCCATAGATGAAAAATGCTTCAAAGGGAATATTAACTGAGCACAAATTTGTATGAAGAAAAAACCCTCAAGTCAGTTTAAAAGGATGGGCATTTCAAGACAAATTCTTTCAAGTGCAACTTGTGATTGTTGTCACAATGTGTTGTGACACTGTGTTGCTTAAAATGTTTTACAACATTGTTTTAATCAGAAACAAAATTCATTCCCTTTCCTGTCCTAGATGTTCAGCCATCAGAACTTGTTTTGTTTATCTGTGAACTGGCATGAAGCAGATCTCCAGATTATTTCAAAACCATCTACAAACCATTGCATGGCAATTTCCAACGTTTGCTGTTAGGCCAAATCTCTCCAGAACACAGAAAAATGAGGGAAGAAACTTGACTGTATCACAGATGAGAAAGCAAATCAAAGCATTTACTTAAAAGCTTGGAGTAAGTTGGCTTAAAGAAAAAGAAGTGAGAGGACTAAAGAACATGGCCCTGAACAAAAACTGCCTAGCAGGCAATAACCACCTTCTGCTGATCCCCCCTTCACAGATATCAACCACAAAGGATTTCTAATATGGCCCATGACCTTTAAAAGAAAGCTTAGCTGTCTTAAAAGCTATAATTGCAGTCAACAAGTAAGAAAACCTACTTGCTTTTCCTGCCACTCCGTGAATCTGTGGTTGATGAACTTAACGTCTGTGTTAATGTAGATGCCAGAGCTGATGACGAATATCCAGTGGAATCCCTGGACAATGAAAATTCTCTTCCAAGCTGAAAGTCATTGTTCTTAAATGCTTCATAGCTGGCTTTTAGACTGGATGTTCGTCTTCCCTCCTTCATCTAAAAGAAATACAGATATTTTATTAGATTACACAGTAGAGCTCTTACAGAAGACATACCAGGCTGCTAACTGCTAATTATTTGCACACGTTCATTAGTTGCCTTGTTAACAAAATGAAGTATAGTAAGCAGAAAATCGTGTAAGAATATCCCCCAGGAAAAGCCAAAAGTCAAGCTGTCCATTTAGGCAAGTTATACAGGATGAAACTGGCATATAAACAAAACTGTAACATGAGAACTGCATCACATCAACTGAAAGTGAACATGGGAATTCAGATTTTTAAAAAAAAATAAAGAAGTCACTAGTGTCTTCTTAATCAATGGCAGATGGCAGAATGACAAGAATATTTTGACATTACCTGTGCTGTGGCTTGCACTGCTTGAGCTGCTGCCATGGTAATTGCACCGGCCCCAGATCCTGAAGATAATGAGCCCAGGTTATATGATGCCAATGGTTGAGAAGAGTTTGTATTGTATGCATTGTTTGAAGAGGATGATGAATTATTGTTTCGACACCCTTGATGAACAGAACACATTTATGAAATTTAAAATGAAACTAAATTCCTTTGCATTTTAAGAAGAGTTATATATGACAACCAGTGAAAGAGTAGGAACTCCGTTTATGCATCAGAGCAGTCTAATCATTCGGAAAAAAGGTTTTAAAAGTAATCTGATGCAGCCAGTATTTGTTTAAGAAAAAGAAAAAAAAGAATTTTGTTCCCTGTCTATCCTCACATGTGAGAAGGCCTTTTAGAAAGACAGCCCTCACTGTCGTCCTCAGCTATCAAAGAACAGATGCAGCTGGTGTATCTGCCTCTTGAAATGATGCTGATTACTATAACCACCAAGAAGAGTGAAGGAATTTGGCTATACACCTATACTGTTTCTGAAGTAAAACTTTTAACAACCTTAATTCTACAAACTACAGATCACAGTTTTAATGCAACACAGATTTCCACGGCCACCTACAGAATGACAGCTGCTCAGATATAGTTATGTTTTATCTGCAACCTCATGTGAAGTTCCTTCAAAAGCAAAGTGAAATAGGTATAAGGGAGACTACTTAAAAGTGATGAACATTACTAAATTCCAAAACATAAGGTAGTTTACTTACTACAACCTCTCACAATCTTTTATTTTCAGAAAAGAAACTATGAAACACCTTAATTTTGAAAATGGGCAGAAAGTTGTATTTTGGTTTCTTTATTCAATATTCAAAAAGACTTCTTGCCTCTTTGGATATAGACAATACATAAGTTTTTTACATTTCATTGTAGTAAATGCCATAAATAAATAAAAAAAGAGGCGAGAAAATTCTTTTCCCTTACTTTTGAAATTGTTGCATGTGTTTCTTTTCCCAAAATAATAATGCATTGATCTCTTTCATTGCTCTACTGGCTGAATGAAACTGTACTGTTATCTCCTTTGGAGCAGTGTAAATAAAAAGAAACAGCCAATGTGCAGCTGCTAAATGACAACAAAGCTGACCTGCATCGTGGACAACACAGATGAGTAACAATGCCTGCGGTTTCTCATGTTTCAAATGTCTGAAAAACCCAGAGGAAAAAGCATGAGCCCCTGACTGAGGACTGGATAATAGCAGACCCCAGAGGGTTGTAATCAATGGCACAGGGTCTAGCTGAGGCCTGTCACTAATGATGTCCCCCAAGGTTCAACACCAGGCCCAGTATCATTTAACTTATTTATCCATGACTTGGATGAAGGGGCAGATATCTTCTCAGCAAATTTGCTGATGACACAAAAGTTGTGAAGAGCAGCCAATAGCCCAGAGAGCTGTGCAGCCCTTCAGAGGGACCTTGACAGGTTGGAGAAAAAGGCCGAGAGGAACCTTCCCAAATTCATCAACGGCAGAAGCAAGGTCCTGCACCTGGGGAAGAATAACCCCATGCACCAGTACAGGCTGGGGGCTGACCTGCTGGAAAGCAGCTCTGTGAAGGATCTGGGGGTCCTGGTGGACAAGCTGTGCATGAGCTATCAGTGTGCCCCTGTGGTCAAGAAGGCCAGTGGTATCCTGGGATGCATTAGGAGAAGCATTGCCAGCAGGTCAAGGGAGGTAATCCTGCCCCTCTAAGCAGCCCTAGTGAGGCTGCATCTGGGGTGCTGTGTCCAGTTCTGGGCTTCTCAGTACAAGAGAGACATGGAGATCCTGAAGCAGGTCCAGTGGAGGGCAACAAAGATGATTAAGGGACTGGAGCATCTTTCTTATGAAGAAAGGCTTAAGGAGTTGGGCCTGTTCAGCCTTGAGAAGAGATGACTGAGAAGGGACCTCATTAATGTATGTGAAGGGAGGGTATCAAGAGGATGGAGCCAGGCTCTTCTCAGTGATGCCAAGCAATAGGACAAGAGGCAACAGAAAGAGGTATGGGAAGTTCCACCTAAATACAAGGAAGAACTTCTTTACTGTATGGGTGACAGTGCACAGGAACAGATTGCCCAGAGAGGTCGTGGAGTCTACCTCACTGGAGATATTCAAGAACCACCTGGATGCAATCCTGCACAATGTGCTCTGGGATGACCCTGCTTGAGCAGGGAGGTTGGACCTCACAGATGACCCACTGTGGTCCAACCTTACACATTCTGTGGTTCTGTGATTTCAAAAGACTAGCTCACAAACATAATTAGATTTCTCTTCTTCTGATTAAAAAGCAATAAAATGAGAGACAATTAAGATTACCTGGTGTATTTTCTTTAGAAGCATCTGAAGTCAGGGTGGATAGAAGAGCTTCAGATTTAAACTTCTTTTCAGGAACATGGTCTGTTGTACTGTGGTGAGAAGATGGATTGTGTTTCCTTTCTAAATGAAACAAATGAAGGGAACTTAAAATGTAAAACCTATTCATCTTGAAAGTCAAACTAAAACAAGGGCACTTTCAACAAATTCCCACCAGCAAAACCTTACTATTTCCTTCTTGCACTTCTTAACAGACATTATTATTATGGAGGGGAAAAAAGTTCTGAACATTTTCTTTTCCTAATACTACTCAAGAAATTAAGTAAATATAACAAGTGGGCTTGTTTTCAAGTCTCAAATACTTACTCTCTACTGGAGTGTGAGAGTGGGCGTGATGGTTATTCACAGGCTGTGATGGTGTATCCAGCTCCAGAGACCCTGAGAGGGAGGTAAAAAGGATAAGAAAATTTCAGAGTCATCATTGGCATTGACTTTTAGATACTAAATGAATCTTTATATTAACCAAATCACTGTGAAGTTATATTTATTTCAATCAGAAGAATTTTTGCTAGACCTGAAACCCTTTCTATAACACAACCAGGAAACAGTGAGAATAGTTTTAAAATAAAAATTGTTGACTGCTACTGTTCAGCTGTTGAAATCAAGAAGTTAAAATCAAGGCCTATAAGGAGAACAAACAACAACATTGCCCACAACGTGCCACTTATGCAAATGTGTTGCACACAAGCACCTGGTGATGGCTGGAGAATGGCTGCATCAAAAGTACTGAAAATCTACAGCAAATATGAATTCAAGACTGTAACAGGTAAACTGTATAAACAAGGCATCTTGTCCCACTGAGTCCATCTTGTCACATTCAGTCAAAACACAAGCAATAGCAATGCCTTTCAAGATGATTTAACATTCAATAGGAAGGGCTTCAGATCATTATCTGAATTTTCTTAGCACTAGAAATACACAGAGAAACAATACAAACTAAAAACCAGGAAAAAGTCAGTCAGGGGGGTACAAATGCAAGTCTACATCTAGGAACAACATTTCTTGTAAGATGAGGCTAAATAATTGCAGCATAGGAGAGACTTTGACTATACATTTCCATTAGAACAATATATAACACTTTGTAGCTTCAATACCTATTTACTTACATTTACACAGAAGACGATTCAAGAAAGCAATTCACATACATTTTTCAAAATCTCTAGCTTCAACATTTCTTTACCTCTTTCAGTGCTTTCGAAAAGCACTGAAATATATGAGCATATGAGCAACACATGAGTGTATCACAAAAGTTTTAATAAAGTTATTCTAGAAGAGGCTCAAAGCATAAGGAGCTATTTTGGCCGAGCAAACTTTAATGACATTATGAAGTCGCCCTAAGGCTGCCCTCTGGCGGGACCTTGGCTGCGTGTGTTTACTCTGAAAGCTAAAAATGTTAAGAGGCTTCTACTTCTTGCTTTTTTTGAAAAAAACTCCAACAACAAAACCCAACTCAAACAAACCTTAAGGATGTAACATGCAGTCTGGTGCCCTTCTACTTCGAGTTCTTGCAATCCTATCTAGCAACCTCACCAAACAGATACCTCAACAGAAGGTCATAAAACCAGCTGGAATTTCAACGGAAATAAACTAGTCCTTTTCTGTAGTTGCTAGTTCATTAAAAGCATTTAATTTACAGTTTTCTTTTTGTGCCTGTTATTTGTAATAACAATTACAAGTAAAATATCACCAAACTCCCAGCTTTTATGACAAAGCAGTGAAATGTTCCAAGAAAGAATATTTATTCCTAATATCCTCAAGTGATCTAAAAGTTAGCTTTCACTGTCTTTGGCTGTGAGGACAACTACTGCCTCCATAATCACAGTAGTTAAATCAATTTAAGGAATTAATCATAATCACACCTGATATCTAAATGCTGATGCACACAGAAAGGCTGTATTCTTCTACACCAAACTGGCCACAAAACTGCCACATTACATTTTTCATCACATTCTGACTACCAGCATTGCTGTATTTTTTAAACATGCAGGTTTCTTACCCAAAATGCTTTTTCCTTGCTACCATTACAAAACCACCTATTCTCTCCCTTTTAAAAAAAGAAAACTACCGAGTATCTAACTTTATTTGACATTCCACACCTAGAACTAAAATAATAACCCTCCTCAATTTGATGGCAATCAATTTGGGGAAGAAATGGTACACTTGCAAGTAGGTAGGTTGCAAGCTTAGGCTGAAGTACTTGTCTGAATACCTACAATCGTTAAAAACAGGTTTAAAGAACTGTCTGTCTTGCTGTAGCAATTCACAAAGGCAACAGTTGTGTGAAAAAAATTATTCTAATTACTCAGTTGTATTTTTACTTCACTGGTAAAAACTGAGGTTGAAGCTAAACTTTGAGAATTGCTGATTGATGAAAAGTATGTGGGTTTAAAAAAAGTTTTAAAACAGGCTGAAATACTGCCAGCCATTAACAAATGTATGGCATTTTAATTTTGCAAACTGTCATAAAGACTGTTGAGTTCTTAAAAAAATCCATGCATACTCACGTCTCTCTAATATTTCTGTAATTCCAGCATTATCTGCTTCAAGTTCCATCTTAAATTTAGCAAGTTCCTGGTCCAATTTCCTCAAATGACGGTCTACCTGGTTTTCAGAGAAAACAACAATAAATAGCACCCAGTTCTAGAACATGAACATTTACATCTTAATCTCAGGCTTGCTAAATATTTCCCTTCCAGCAATTCAATGCCACACAACACTAAGTACTATAACAACGTGCAGAAGTGTTATCTTCTTGGTCACCTCCATTTCCCTCACTCAGCAGAGACACTTGCTAATTTCCAGCTAATTGGGACCTCCCTCGTTAGCCAGGACTGCTGGTAAATGATAGAAAGTGGCTCAGTGACCTTTTCCACCAGCTCGCTCAGTGCCCCTGGGTGGATCCCAACACACTCAGACACACTTTTGTCTAAGTGTCACAGCAGGTTGCTGACCATTTCCCCTTGGATTATGGGAGCTTCATTCTGCTCCCCACCCATTTCTTCCAGTTCAGGGAGCTGGGTACCCTGAGAACAACTGTTCTCGTTATGAAACACTGAAGCAAAGAAGGCATTAAGTACCTCAGCCTTTTCCTCATCCTTCATCAGTATGTTTACCTCTGCATCCAGTAAGGAATGGGGATTTTCCTTGGACCTCTTTTGTAGATATGTATTTGTAAAAATAATTTGTCTTTTATGGCAGTAACCAGATTAAATTCTCCTTGGGCTCTGGACCTTCTAATTTTCTCCCTGCACACCTCATGACATTCTTCTAGATCTCTATCCTGCCCCTTCTTCAAAGGTGATCACTGTCTTCCCCTGAGTTGCAGCCAAAGCTCTCTACTTAGCCAGGCTGGTCTTCTTCCCAACTGGCTTGTCTTTTGGCACATGGGGACAGCCTGCTCATGTACATTTAAGATTTCCTTCTTGAAGAATGTCCAGCCTTCCTGGACTCCTCTGCCCCTCAGATTGCATCCCAAGGGACTCTCTCAACCAGTCTCCTAAACAGGCCTAAACTCTTTTGATTTCTAGTATTATTACTTTGTTTTGGACTTAAGTAACAATTACTACCCAAAATAAAATATATCTGCAGGTAGATGACATAAAAGCACAGGTAGCACAGCTGTAGTATGTATCAAAATGCTAAGAACTACCTAGGGCATAAGTTTATGTAATTTACCACAAATATTGTGTCCACTTACCAGATCATATATTTGATTAGCCAGTTGCACTTTCTCATCTGCATCTTCCAAAGCCTTATAATAATCCTGTTATGGAAAAAATTTCTTTTATATTATGAATGTAACTAAATTAATTTCAGTAATTTTAAGCTATTGTTACACAGCACAAAATATAAGTTATAAGGAGAAATTCAAGTCAATTTTCAGGAAGACTGTGAAACATTACTATAAACAATAATCAGCTTTTTTATTGTCTGTGCCTTAGAAAAAGCCAAACTACAAGATGGGGACACTTCTTCCTCCAGTGATACTTAGATTTCTGCAAGAAATGCTACAAGAAAAGAAACAATCTTGGATTTATTTTATATTACCTAGTATAAGTTATGGACTCAAAATGAGATTATGTCTTTTACTTCCTATGGATATTTAGGACCACTGCAGATCCTGATGCTCTTCAAAATGATGCCAGGTAGTACTGTGCAGGGAGGCCTTTCCAGCATTGCAGTTAAACAGAGATAACATTGTATATAGTTTCGATTTTTAAAAAATGAGTTTCTATAACTCATAAGCATATTATGAATAATTTGACTAAAGCAATCCAATTCAAAAGTCTGCTCTGACCAATGAAAATTCACAGACAAAACCTTTTCTTAAAAAAAAAGTATGTTTTCTCATGTTTTCACTTCTCTTTGAACAGATTTTACTGCCTTTTAATTCTCAGTTCCACTGAATAGTATCTTGCTTAGGTGAAAACTACTTAAAACTTTGGTTCAACTAAAGTGTAAAGCAAATTTTTCGTTTGCTCTAGTGAAGCCAGGACTTTGACTTTTTCTTTTTTAAAATATAGAAATCTATTTGCATAAATTAAAGAAGAAAACAATCCTTGGCCAAATAAGGGGCTGAAGTAGAAAGTGTAGGAGACTACAGAGGAGTTTCTTCTGAGAAAACAATGGACTGTGTTGCTGACAATACCACCACCAATGCCCAAGCATTGATGGATAAAACAGAACACATCCATCTTCTTACTCCTCCCTCTCTCAAGCTATTATATATAACATATATAAGGACATAGGCAAAATCACAGGAAATGCTGAATCCAAGTTTGAAAAATATCCTCTAACAGAAAGCCAATTAGGCAACTTCATGTTGCACAAGCAGAAACAAAAAGCCTGAGCTGAAAATTCAGTACCTGGTTTGCTCACCATTTCAGGATCATGTCTTTTTTAAATGCCAGCAAATACTGGGTAAAACTTGAGAGAAACACTTGATCAAAGAAACCTTTCAGACACTGTTCTCCTCCGAGGTAGTTCTATCCATCTCTATGAAAGCCCAAGGGAAGGCACAGTTCTGAATGCTTAAGTCTCCATCAATCATCAACAATTTTTTCCTAAGGTTATCTTAGTTTGCAAAAGAAAAATGTGACCCACTCCTGTGATATCCTTACTTTTTTGATTGATGTCATTTGTTCTTCTCTCCATTCGGGTTTGTTTTTCTTTGCGTTCATAAAAAATTCATTTACCCTCTGCTCGAGCTGATCCATTGCATCTGTAGCATAGGAAGAGATGAAGGCAAATGTTATCTTCCCATGTACATAAACATATGGATAAATTTTTTTCTCAAACAATGTTGACAGGACTGAGGTAAAAACTATTAGAGGAAAAAAAAGAAAAAAACCAAAACAACCAAGTGACAGTGGACATTGGAGGGAAATACTTACCTCGATTTCCAAGAAGCAGAATTGCATTCTGGTAGGATTTTCATCAAGGTTCTTGTGCTCTCCAGCATGGGACAGGCAGGACTCCCAAGTTCTAAAGGTTTTTTGTCCCTAAGAGCAGTGGTAGTGACTTAAAGCACGACCCAAACTCCTCACCCAGGGCTCTAGACTGCTGACTTTGGAACATTCTAGCCAGTTACAAACTGAGCAGGAAACAAAATGTTCTCCTAAGAGAAACAGTCAAATACAAAACCAAATAATTGAAAAAAATTAGTGCCTCAAAAAGGTAGAGCAACTGAAGAGTAAAGACACTGCCTTTAAGTCAAGGCCCTCTCCATTATATGCAAGGAAGGGTCTGGGCAAACTGAAAGCACTCACAAAGTTATTCCCCTCACCCCCACAGAGGAATCTCTGATGAAATACTATTTGGACAGGACTCTCACATGAAGTTGAGAAATGTTTTAAGGGGAAAAAACAAACCCACTAATTTTCTAACATTAACTATCTCTAGAAAGGAAAATGTCAACTACAAGTTATTTTTTTTCGTTGCTTATTGAGACAGGAACAGGGATTCCCTTCCGTTTCCCTCCACCCTCCTCCCACTGAGTTTACTATTTCAACAGCTGGATACTTGTGCACCCCACAGCTTGCATGCTTCCAAAAACATGCAGCTGCCACAGTCAAACTAGATTTGACAGCCTTGCTCATGTCCGGATAGATGACAGTACTGACTTCTTTTTCATGGCACCCATAGCAATACTGTCCAGATAGCAGTTTCAAATTAAACATGACAATGCACCAACTACCTACAGAGTTCAGACTCTGGGTGTAAAACATCTAAGATATTTTCCAGGAACCACCATTAAAACTGGACCACATGGTGGCCATCATCTCTTGCCAAAAAATCCCCAAGAGTGAATTAACTAGTTCAAGAAGCTCATGAATTCCCAAGTATGATTAACTCTTAAAATCAAATAGAGGCTAAAGATCTTCTCACTCAGTGAAAATTCACAACTAGAACCTAACTATTCACATAAAGAATCATAAATCATTTAAACTAAGTTAAAAAAAAAAATCATCAATTTTTCCTATGCTGGGAACATCCAGCATCAAACCCAACAGACACCTAACAACTGACTGGACAAAGCTGCATTAATCCCAAGCTATAACAGTCGTGTTACAGGCTCAAGCCAACCTTATTTAGACTCAAATAAAGCAGTCAAACACTTTTGGTGTATAACAGGCTAAAGATGGGAAAATCTGTACAATGATCACTTTCCACTAGCACTGTGTTATTCAGAGAGAAGATTGCCTGAGAGGCAAGCCAGAAGTACACACTTTCTGTGGAAGCTTCTAAAATCTTAATTCTTTAACCAAATGACTATAGTATGATCTATAAAGTCAACAGACAAAATGTTGTATCTTCTAGTCCCTGAGTGCAAACAGCTAGGTGATAGTTATTCTAGTGGCTCCATAGACAAGAAAAGACAAAAAATCTCCCCTCTTCACTTTTTATTGAGGACATGTTATCAGTCTGTGTGAAAGTGCATAAGGGGAAAGTTCCACAGAAACTTGGTCTCCCCAGAAAACACAGAAAAGGCAACAGGGAATACAGGTCAGATCTAACAAATGATAAGAACAGTTCTCTCGGGTACACTCAAGTTCATCCACCTTTTCTCTCCCCAGCCTTTTTAATCCAGTTGCGATACTATGTTCTGAGATACTAGTTTCTTAGATCAGATTTCTCAAGAGAGTTGCCAGAAATTCTATTAGGAGAGGCCTTTTTCCAAAACCTGGCATTTTACTATGAAGGCCTGATAATCCATGATTTGAACTTAAACAGAGAAACACATTTTATGCATCAAGGGGAGCACAGTTAAAGCTCAGGAGTCAAGTCACAACTCAGATGATTCTTGCTGTTCCCACAGTCTTATCAGGTCATACAGCAGATACACATGGTTTATTATTCCTTCCAACAACAAACAGCAGCACCTGGCCCATTAGAAGTCTATGCAGACCAAATAGGACAGAACACAAAGTCAACACTGACGCTAAAACAACGCTGGACAGATCTCCCTGAATTACAACTCACGGAGATTTCTGGGACAGCATCACTGAAAGTACTGTTCTCAAGTACTTCCAAGACACTGAATATTCACAGCAAGTCACTATGTCACAGCATAAGAACAACCTCCAGGTTTGCATGTAGTGTTCATCAGGTAGTTTGGGAACTGATGTTGAAGAGTTGCTAGTCCAGGAGTTTAGCAAATGTCTTTGGATGGTCTGTCACTCATGGTACAAGAATTACGGACGTCTGAGAATTCTTCTCTGAGCCTAAGGTTGGTCCTAGTATACAATTATCAGTGTCATTTGCTACTTCCAGTAATACAATATGGAGTGTTATTTGTCACTTCCAGTTAAAGCAGAGGAAATGACACTCCTGCAACCTTGGCAGTGCTAGCTGGCTCAGTTCTGAAACACACTTAAAAAACTCCTACTTAGCTTTTTTCCTCCCTATGGAACAGAAGTAAAATAAGTGAACTTTTTCCATACTACCTGAGTGAACTGCTCACTCCCTTCCCTGGTGCTCCCTGGTGATATGACTTCAGAGGTGTTATGTCCCATAAGGAACTGTGACTCTGTTCCCACAACTTTAAGCACTGAACTCAAGACAACACTTAGGTCATAATATACAAAAAGGTCCTACAGCCAGTTCTACACGTGTCAGTAAAGTATGTTAAACACACCTGCTGGGTCCACTTGAGTAAATAGCCAAGGAAAAGCCTGAGACTGTACTTTAAAGTATAATAGATTAAACTACTGTTTTCAAGAACTGTTCCCACTTTGTATTCCTATACAGCATTGTCTTGCTATTGCAACTCTTGCCTTCTGCCATTCCTCTTTGCAATAGCCCAAACCTTCTGTATTGATGATTCCACTCATCTTTTGCACAATGTTTCACTAATGAAGACCTTTGGATCACAGTTACAGATAACACTATTAATTGTGTGTTAAATGACCCCACCACCTAACTAGGTGTTACAGGACACCTAAGACCCAGATGAGATTACATTAGAAAAGGTGAAAAGGCAATGCATCCTCAGAGCAGCAATAAGGCAGTATATATGTATATATTCTGTAAAATATATATAATATTTGGATATAAGCAGAGAGATACAAAAAACTGAAGTACGGTATATTTGGTTAGGTGTCAGCTAGGGCACGAGAGGCCAAGCAAAAAGCACCTTCCTATGTGCTGTTACAAGGGAGCTGGCTGGAAAGTTTCGGAGACAGCATGCCGCTGCCTGCTGAAGGAGCAGGGCGCAACTCATGTTCCAAACCACCATCACTGCTCTTAGGGACCAAAAATCTAAAGAGTTTGGGACGTGCCACCGAAAAAGCCTTCGGGACCAGCACAAGCCCAGGCGCACAGTGCGGCGGG